CTGCACCATCTAGCTGCCCCTTGATGGTTCTTTAGTTGCTGTTTTTGCATGTTGTTTTCCTGGCTCTTCTTGCTTCTCTTTGTATCAATTCATGGAAGTTTTCTCATGTTTCTCTGTATTTGCCATTTAGTTGTCTATAGTTTATCCCTTCTTGGGTTAGATATTAGTACTTCATTTGTTTCATTAAAGGAGTTTAATAGGGTGCTTTCTTTACCAATTTTTGAAAATAATTTGTGTCGTATAGATGTCAGTTGTACTTTAAAAGTTTGACCAAATCCAAACTAGATTCCGGTAGTAGAGGTATTCTCCATTTGGTAACTAGTATTCATCTGCTACACCCATTCCTAAGGGTCTCCCTATTATATAATCTATAATAGACTATTCCTATTGAATATATTTTATGTACAGAACAAATAAAGCTGGTTTACTAAGAACCTACATATTGCAGGTGATACTTATAATGTTTTAATAATTTCCAGTGGTATCTCCTAGCTATTTACCTCTAGATTTTGATGGGAGCAAAGTTAGTGGCAAAAGAATAAGCAATGTATCTAATCACATAGCCCAGTTGAATAGCTCACATTTCTATACTACATTATGGTCTACAAAGCACTTTTTCCAAATACCTTGTAAGGAAGATAACAAGTTGATTCCCATTTTCCAAATTATGAACACAATCCTAGTAAGGTAAAGTGACTGATATATTGTCATATAGCTATTAAGTATCAATACTAGGTTTCAAACCTACATCTCCTGTTCCATATTCTTTCACAGGTTCAGGGTTCTGAAGCTGAAAAGATTTAAAGTGAATTGTCAATAATTGAGGACCATTTTAAGAGTAAAGTCGGAAAGGCAAGTCCTGCCTCCAACACATATTGGCATTGGGACACTGGACAAGTCACTTACCCTGTCAGTGATCTAGACAATTCTCTGTGGCTGTAGCAGAGAGGGTACATACTTGCACTGGCAGAGGGAGTTTCCTCACCTGGATTTCCCCCATACCAATGAAATCACAGATCCAGTCCCCATCTCCTGTCCAAGAGACAGTGTGCCAAAAAGAACAGCAGACTGGAATCATGTCTTGGATCTTCCACATTCTAGCTCTGTGTTTTTGATCATGTCACCCCACTGTTTTCATTTGTAAAATGGGATCAGTGATAATACTTGCCCATTTGACTTCATAGAGTTGTTCTAGGGACAGTGCTTCATAACCATGGTGTAAGTATTCCATAAATGTAAGCTGTAATAATAAGTAATAAATAAATAAAACCCCAGTAACATAACAGCTTAGCCATTTGTGCAAGGGTTGAAAGTGAGAAGGTAATCTTGTGACAAGAGAACATCACTAGCCTGAGAACAAAACTTAGTTTTGAGTCCTGAGAAGAAACTAGTCCCATAAAAGTTCATGTTACTAGATATTTTTCACCTTGGTGCTTTAGATAAGATATAAATCCACTCTTTATAAGTTTTATAGTATTGCATATCCCTGGTTCTTTTTATAGAATAGTGCATTTATTTTTGCATTTTCTTTATTTGTTTTTCTTCTCTTCTCCAGCTCTGTGATTTCATGGGGGAGGTTAAGGAGGAGCATGCCTTTCTCAGATCAGAAACTTTCTCCACCTAAGTAAATCTGGAACTTCTATCCTTAGAGAGTTACCTGGACAGGAAGAGATTCAGTGAATTGTCTGGTCCTATTGTCTGGATGTGTTAGAGTTGAGGCTTGAACCTGGGCCATTCATACTATGAGACAGGCACCCTACTTTGCCTTTCCCATGCATTGTAAATGTCAGGGTGACTGGACTGATGTAAGGGGCTGGGCTCCAGTGATTTGACTTCCCACTGCTGAGACATTCCATCCTCCTTTTGTACTTATCAGTTCAAATCCTATTTCTGCCTCAGCTTGCTACGGACTTTCAATAAATTATAATTGCTTTTGCTGTCTTTGCTAATTAAGGAATCTGTGTAACCTGCATCCAGACCCCAGATTTAGACATAAGGCACTAACAAGACATTCTGTTAAGTATCCTTATGCTGGGATGCTGTCTGATCCAATAGCCTTCTACAATCATCCTTCTTTGTAATTATTCTCCCAGCCCCTTTTACCTTTAGTGAAATTCTAGGTGATGTAATATAATCTTCTGCTGCCATGGTAGGACCATTGTTTTGTAAAGTATATTTGGTGATTCTTTATCCAGCCTGATTTCATGTGCCTGAGCTGTGAAGCTTTTTGAAATGTCTTGACTCGTTCACTGTTCACAAAGTTGTTACGTTAGGAATTTTATTGCATTTCTATTAAAAAAACCCTCTGAAATACTCTAGACAGTCTGAAACTTCATAGATAAGAATATAGCTCCCATTAGCAGATATGCCTACCACTCAATGCAGAGCTCTTTCATACACGCCCAAAATTTTGCAAGCTGCTTTACTGAAAGGGCTAGCAGGCTTTCTCATGTTCAGTTAGCATTGCATGAATACAATTGGAGAGGGAAAGTTGTCCATCAGTTCTCAGTTTTATTGTATTACCCATTTTTTCCATTCGCATATTTCTTTGATTTCATCCTTTAAACTATTTCTCCTGTGTAATTCCTTGAATCTAATGTGCTGGCCTGCTCATATTCACAATGAACCTATCCATTGCCCTCAAATTAAGTACTTCAGAGATTGTAGTGTTTCCACAAAACAAAAATATAACTTTATCAATACACAGAAAAAAATTAGAATATTTATTAAAATACTAACATCAGGAAATATAATTAACTTTCCCTATAGAATGACATAGGATTTTCTGATTACATTATCATATTTATCTCATGCTTTATATTAAAATATTTCCTATATTGAAAAAAGAAGACAGTCATTTTAATATAAACTAGATTTTGAAGTTCAGATAATAATGGTGCCCATATGCATAAAGGTATCTGTGTGTGAAAGTATGTCCTTTCTTAACCTCTCAGTTTGATAGTTCCATGATTTGTTGGAATGGTCTGGTTTCATCTTTCCTTGATGATTTTTTCAAAATTTGAAGTCTGTACACTTTAATCCTAAACTCATCTGTGGAGAGGCAAAGTAATATAGTAGAAGGTGCATGAGATGTGGAATCAGAGGACACTGGTTTCATTCCTTGGCTTTGCATTCTACAGCCTATGTTAGTTTGGGCAAGTGATTCAATTTCTATGGGTTTCAGTTTCCCCTCTTATAAGATAAGAATGGTGAGCTTGATAGGCTTGCAAGGTCCCTTTGAGATTTTCCACCTGAAAGCTTCCTGAAATCTGAGGGTCTTGTATTCAGGTACAGCTGAGCATTTCCAAGAATTACTAAATTCTTGAGTCCGTTAGCCAAATAACATTCAGTTGGAATGATGTGTCTTTCAACTGGTAAAGGATGACTGTGTTTATCGTAGCACCCATTTTCTGTAGTACCAAATGTGGACTGTATCTAAGATGCAGAAAAAAAAAAGTTGTTCTTTAAGAAAAATGAAATGGGTAAGAATAGGTATTGGTCAAGAATCAGATTTGTTGTTTTTTAGTCGTTTTTCAGTCATGTCTGATTCTTTGTGACCCCATTTGGGATTTTCTTAGCAAAGATACAGGAGTGGTCTGCCATTTTCCTTCTCCAGCTCATTTTACAGATGAGCAAACTGAGGCAAACAGAGTTAAGTGACTTTCCCAGGGTCACATGGCTAAGAAGTGTCTGAGAGTGGATTTGAACTTAGGTCTTCATGACTTCCGGCCCCGCACTCTATTCCACTGGTGCCACCTAGCTGCCCGTAAAAATCAGATTAGAAGTATCAGAAAAAGGTGTATAATATACTTGCAGATCTCTCTCAGAAAAAGGCCTCTTGCTGGCCATCATTGATCTGAGTTCAACAAAATAAAGTCTGAATCTTTTCACTGTAATTTTGCATAGATATAGATTTTTTTGAGTTTATATTTAGAAATAAAATGCTGCCCATGTTTCTGACACTTCATTTTGTCAATTGAGAAATCTGCTTAAGCTACCCAAATAGTAGAAATCAAATTAAATTTCTTTAATAATCCCACCCAAGAAGCAGCTTGAAAAGAAGCCAGATGAATCAATGACACTGTGTGTTCATGTTTTTCTCTTCTCTACAGAGTTGGGGGATGGAGGAGGAGGAGAAAGATAGGAGGAGATATTTCTGTAGAACAAAGAACCCTAAGTTTAGATTTTGGCTTCAAGATGTACTAGTATGTGACACTGGGAAATTTCCCATTGAATCTTAGAATTGCAAAGGACCTCAGGGCCTAGTGAGGCTGCACCTTACCATGCATCCCCTTTACAGTATCTCCCCAAATGATCATTGGGCTTCTGGCAAAAGCCCTCCAGTGCACTGCCCAAGGCAGCTCATTGTATATTTCTGTCACTCTCTTGGTTAGGAACTGGTTTTTGGTTTTGGGTTCGTTTAGTTTTATTTTGTTTTCCTATCAAATGCTGTAAGTGGGCCTCTGAACCACTTCTACTAATTACTCTTAGTTCTGATTTCTGGGGCTAAGATGAATAAGATTTGTTCCTCCCCATGATAGGCCTTTCAGTAATTGACCTCTTTCATCTTTACTTTGCTCATCAATCAGAGAAAAATACCTCATCAGTTCTAAAGTGCAAAGCAAATGTGAGTTATCTACTAAAATCTTAGGAGACAAAAGTAAATCAGATGTATACCTGGAGATAGGATTGAAGGTCAACATCAATGATTTTCTCTCTGCTTTTGAAATCTGACAAGTCTGGAGATGAGGCAGACAACCGGGGATTTTTTTTTTTCACTTAACCTTGTATAAATGACCAGGTGAACAAGGAGCACGTCTTTCCATGCACCATGTTGTAATTGGATAGTATATCTGTGGTCTTCATAAAACTGCCAGACTGTCAGGTATTTCATTTATAAAGGGGTTATAATTTCTGAAGTACAGACCATTTATTAGAAATTTTCCTACCAGCTTTGACTAAAGTCTGTTTGTGTTTGTTTTTTTTCTTCTTCCTTGTAGAACCTCGGAGTTACACTGAGGGCCTTAATCACTCAGTGGTGATGTCAGACAGCCCAATTGGAACAAACCCTGCTCTGTTTCGGTCTGAGAGGCCAACAACTCCTTGTCAACGGACCTTTCCATCTGCCTGTACGGCTTCAAGCAACAGCCCCCTCCAGAGAGGCGAGAGGTAGGCAGAGCTTGTTGGCAAATATCACCTATTCCCCTCAAAGAAATGGGCTTTGAGTCGGGAAATAGAGGAATTGATTTTCAAATTGAATTACAGTTGCCTCTGTTTTTCTCTGAATGTATTCATGAGCTAAATGAAGCATTTTAACTAAAGAAGGCTTTGTTATCATTCATATTACCATATAATACTCATTACTAAAATCTGTTACTGAAATATTAATAGTGAATTTGGGGAAATTAGTGCTGCGATACCGCTTTGACCATGACTTGGTAGCTTTTAGTTAAAATATCATGCTAGTGGGGGCTATGGGCGTGGTGTCAGTCCCTTCATTGGCCATTTATCTACATTATCTTCCGTGATCACAGACTCCATTGGTCACAAAGCAGGAGCTTCTTATGGAGAATGGCCAAATCAGTACGATTAGCTATATTCCAGTAGAGGGATCAGACCTCTTGCCCTAGCAAAGGTGAATAGAGTAAAAAGATTGCTAGGCTAGAGATCAGGAAATTTGGGCTTTATCCTGACAACCACTAAATGAATGACCTTGGGCACGACACAGATGAAATAGAAAACTGTGCCTCAGTTTTTTAATCTGTCAAATGGAGTCATTTACTGTCCTACCTACCTCACAGAGTGGTGGTAAGAATCATATGGAGTTGCATTCATTCACTAAATGACTCAACAAATACACAGTGATTACCTGCACAATTAACACTAAAAAAGAAATAAATAAAAAATTTTAAAATGAATGATTCCCCCCCCATCCAGCCTCCAAGAAATTTACAGTCTTAAAGCAGAAATAAGAAACTGTATAAAAATTAGCATGGCACATAGCATTTTACAAGGGTTTATTAGAGTACAGGGGATTATGGGAATTTAAAGAAGAGAGGTTACCTTCTGGATATGAGGATTAAGGAATATGTCTTAGAGAAAGTACAAAGGATTTTAGCAACAGAAATGACCAAGGAAGTCATTCTAGGCAGAAGGAATGGTGTCAACAAAGTCCGGAACCAGGAAAGCTTGGGTGTGTCTGAGAAGCCATAAGTTTGCCTAGTACAGGGTACATGAAGGTATACTGGGACATAAGTAGGAAGGTAAGTGATGGCCATATTATAGATAGAATTAAGTGCCAGGCTAAGGCATTTGAACTTTATTAAGTTGATGATGATGGAGTCTTTGGAGGATTTGTATTAAGGAAATAATATTAGAGCTGCCATTTAGGGAGGATTATGAGGAAAAACTTCTTAGCACTTACATTTGTCCAAAAATTAGGCTGTCTCAAGAGGTGGTAGGGTCACCTCCCTTAGAAGCTGTTACAACGAGTATGTTACGATGAGGATTCCTTTGGCTTAGGAGTTGAACTAGTTGGTCATTGAGATTCCTTCTAACACTCACATTTTGTCATTTCCTTTTTCTGCTGCCTGTGGTGCTGCCATGTTTTCTTCATTTTACCTGTTCTTTTGTTTTCTTTTCAAACAGTCCTTCCACAGCAGAGCACCAATGGCTAGAGAGCAGTCCCAAATCTACTCTTTCACCGCAGCTGTCAGTGATGGGGAGCAGCCGACCCACGGGCTTCCTCGTGGGTTCAGAGTTTTCCAGTCCAGGACCGGATTCTTCACTCTTGTCTCATTTCCCGCCTTCGGAGCTGCAGGTTTCTAATCTAAACAGTCATGAAAACTCACCAGCAGAACAGTCCCAAGAAATTCTGGCCAACCCAAGTGGCCGGGCCTTCCTAAACTTTGGTGTGCCTAGCATTGGCAATAGCCTCCAGCCTGATGAGAAGCCAGGAACCTTACTGACTAATTCCAATGGAGCATCTAAACCACCAGTCACCCCACTGGCGGGAGTTGTTGACAATGGCTTCTTGCCCCATAATTTTCTCACGGTGGCCCCTGGCCACAGCAGTCAGCACAGTCCAGTCCTGCAGCATGCGGGTTTATCTCTGCATTCTCAACCACCCCTTCCAGAAAAGAAGAGGACATCTGAAGGAGACCGCTCCTTTGGCTCTGTCTCTCCGTCTTCCAGCGGCTTCTCCAGCCCCCATAGTGGGAGTACAATCAGCATCCCTTTCCCAAATGTCCTTCCAGACTTTTCTAAAGTTTTAGGCACCTCTCCCTTGCCAGGTAGGTGATATTGTTTTGTATCAAATGATTAGTAGTCTCTGCTCATTGAATATGACTTAGTCTTCCAAGCTGAGTTTGATTAGCTTTTTATGAAGACAACTTGAATGTTTATTAAAAACAAAAATGCATTCACTGGCTCTTGTGTAAATTAGACTTAAAAGACAATAGGCCAGATTACTCAGAAGCTTTGCAACAGTGTCAGATGGATTCAACTGTAATTCTTGCTTTGGTGCCAACCCACCAGCAAAGGGTGATCCAAAAGACCTCCTATTAACCTATTCTGACTTCTGCATGTCTATAAGTTAGATTCGTGGCAGGCGTTGGTAATGCAGATTTTGTTAGTCATTCCATTTGCCTTTCAGGCAAAATCATTGTCCTGCTGAGCTCCATATTTAAAAGAAGTTTCTAAGTGCATATTTTCAAGTTTTATAGCTTCAAAAGAGATTTTTAATGGTCCTTGCAAACTCCTAATCAAAGTATGCTGGTTTGTTTATTTTGTGTTCTTAAAATATTTCGTACTTCCCCCAAGACTCTCATTTGAATTGTGGTATTCTTTCCTCCCCCTTTCCCTCTACTGCCCCTACCACCCCAGTGGTTGAACTCTAAATTCCTAGTTAATCAGAACCTTATTGACTGAGGCGAGAAGTTAGAGCAGGAAATGACCTTTTCAATGACTGCTTTCTAATTTGGTTTTACAGAAAATCCAACTGAGAAACTTGTGACTGTGAAATTTGTTCAAGACACATCCAAGTTCTGGTACAAGGCAGATATTTCAAGAGAGCAAGGTATGGCATTAAAGACAAGAAATACCGACTGTCTACATTCAAAATCTCTGGTGCCAGAGACTAGCTTAATTTGCAGGTACAGGAAAAGGGGAGAAAAATCTTAGCCTTTGGGCATCTGAAAATCAAGGTAGGATTCCTTAATGTGGATTTAATAGGCTTGGTTTAATTAGAATGCGGACTACATTTTATTGTACTACCCTAGGGGAAAATGCTATTATCTTTAAACTTTTATTAGAAAGCTTAGCACTAATGAGAGAGAGAATGTGCCATGAGCAGTAGGCAAGGGTAATGTGCATATGTTATGCAGACTTCTGTCCCATGAGCTAGTCTTTGAATCCCCAGGAGACCCTGAGAACTTCTAACTTCTGATGTTGAAACAGCTTATAATTGTGATCAGTGGATCCACTCCTATCATTTTTTAGGTGTATCTCTACCCAACTCTTTATTTATATTTTGACCAGTTTTCCTTAACTCTTTTTTTTTAAAGAGAAAGAAGAGATGCAGAAAAGAATGCTTTTTAATTTCATTTTTTTCTTCCTAAAATATTTAGCTGAAATGTATAGTTAGGGTTGGGAATGGAGGAGTCATATGCATTTGTTTTATTTTTGGCATATGATCTAATTGGAAATATGGGAATATATCCCCAGCAAACCCACAAATGTTTATGTTGAAGTTTGAAAGGTTTATGTATAAGTATTCCTAATAAAGCTGTGGATTTATTGTCTTGATACTATGCATTCATGTGGAGGGGCACCCCTGGGGACCCAAAGAGCCCCTCTCTGGACATCGGAACACTTGGGGTCATAAAGTCATCGGACCATAAACTAAAAGCTGAAAGGAGTCTCAGAGGCCATCTCATTTCACAGATAAGGAGACTCAGGCCCAGGGAGGTTCATGACTTGGCCAGAGTCACACAGATATTCAGCATCAGAGGCAGATTTGAACTCAGAGCACTGCCTTCCCATAGAATCATTTTCCAGCCCTGACAATTATGTAGCTATGTTGACCATTGGCAAGTTTCTTGACCTCTCTGATCCTGAGTTTCTTCATTTGTAAAATGGAGAAAATACTTCTTGTGGTAGTCTGTAATTCACAGGGCAGGTCCCTCAACCTCCCTCAGACTCGTTTTTCTTCTCTTTGAAATGGAAAAAATGATAGCACGCAGTTGTCGTAAGGCTCAAATGAACATATGTAAAGTGCTTGGCAAATCTTAAAATACTTTATAATGTTATCATTATTGTCATGAAACCTAAGGGGAAGCAGTGAGGGAGTGGAATGAAGGATGTCTCTCCTGCTTTCCATTTGTCAAATCCCTGTCAATGGACAATGATAAAAAATAAAAAATATAAAAATGTAGTGATTTGCTGAGTTTGAAAATGAAAGCATCCAAGGAGTTCATGGAAAAAGAATGAAATCCCATTTTTACTCAGACTTTTGTTTGCCTCCTGTGTGCACTGGGCTCTCTGATTCAGAGAGCCATTTAAAAGATAGTGACAGTGTTGAGACAAAATGGTGTCTTGAGTAAAAGGGATTAAGAAGTTCATTTAAAATGCTTCTATTTTACAGTTCTAGTTCATGGGCCTCTTAAGTGTATTTCTGGTGGAAGAAAATCATTCAAAAATGATACCATGGCCCCTCGAGCAGCTTGTGTGATAAATATGTGTACTCTCATTCCCCTCCTGATTATTCCCATGCTCAGTCAAGTTCAAGCCTACCTATTTGGGTCATGGGCAAACTACTCAAGGGTGAGAACAAACAGCAGATCCCTTGTCCTATATCCCTGGAATCTGAGCTTCAGAATACCTCTGTTTTATTAAAAATCAGGAATCTGCAGAAACCAGTATCAGATTCCCAACTGTACAATGTACAATTAAAAAACCAAGAAGTCCAAAAGAGGAAATTTTGAAAGTTAGAGGAGAAATAGATAAATAGTAATAGAATTGACAAAAAACTAAAGCTGTTCATTTGAAGAAACTTAGAAAATCAGTAAAACTTTAGCTAAGTGCAAGTAGGTGGTAAAGTGGATAGAGCACTGGACCTGAAGTCAGGAAAACCTAAGTTCAGGTCCACTTGGGCAAGTCACTTAATCCCTGTTTGCCTCAGTTCACTCATTTGTAAAATGGGAATAATAATAATAGTACCTGCCTCCCAAAGTTGTTGTGTGGCCCAAAAGAGATAATAAATTTAAAGCACTTAGCATAGTACCTGGCACATAGTAAATGCTATCTAGATGTTAGTTATATGATGATTATTATTTTTATTATTATTAATCTTAATTAAAAAAGAGAGGAAAATCTAATTTAAAAAATTTAAAATTGAGTAAGATGAAATGACAACAGAGAAGATGGAAAAATAATATTCAAACCTTTTTTTAAAAACAAAATCACATGCCAGTAAAACTGAGCTACAAAAAACTTAGATACAAATTTAAAAAAAAAAAGGCCGGTGAAGCCAGCTACCCAGTTTAAACAATCCGATTCTATAAAAGACCAGCTGTAAATAAGCTATTTCTAAACTCTCAAGGGTCTACCAAAGAATAGAACCCTTGCTTCAGATGGATTTACAGGAGAATCCTATAAATTTTTTAAAGAATAGTTAATATCTGTGTAACACACATTTTCCTCCAAAACTGAAAAAGCTCAGATTTCCACAGGCAAGTAAAAAGATTATAGTGTCTAATTCTGAAATTTTTTGTGAGGCATCACACAGCACTTTCAAGTCCATTACCTCACTCACACTAACAATCCCTGCTGAATTTTCCAAGTGTTTACTATCCATCCATGTTTTCATGGCAGCAGAGCTGGTTCAGCTCATCTTGAGGCTGCAAGGCTTCACACAGTCCCCTGCCACCTCGCACCTGCCACCACCACTTTAGCTAATTGCCTCAAACAGCATGTCAGTTTTTAAGGTATATGGGTGGGATTAGGATTGCTTATCGGATTATGTTCTCTCTCTTTCTGTGTGTGTGTGTGTGTGTGTGTGTGTGTGTGTGTGTGTCTCCGTGTGTCTCCATCCGTCCGTATGTCTGTGTCTCTTGTCTCTCTCCTATTTTGTAGAAGAATAAAACTAAATTAGCATTGAAATGTGTTCCCTGAGTCAGTCTGGCTTGAGGCAGGCCTAAATTTGTTCCCATTCCTCATTGGTGAACTTGGCTAGGCCATCTTAAACTTAGCTCCCCAACCTCAGCCAGCATTCAGCCCAGGGATGTGAGAAGTGAGTGGTTTAGATGCTTCTATTTTGTTTTGCTTTGCTTTATCATTCAGAGTATATACCAAGGTTTTTAATTTCTTCCCTACCCCAGCACACACACATGCACACATACCCTACTTCTCTTCATTTTCATGCAACTTCAGATTAAGTAAATTAAAAAGACAGTTTTAATTAATAATAAATATTTATAAACAAATAAAATAATATATAATATATTAATCTATGATATAATAATATAAAAATAGTATAATTTTGTTGTTTATATATTATAAATTTTATTTAAATCTGTAAAAAAAAATATGTTACTTTAATGTTGGTATTTATCACCCAGTTATTTAAGGTCAGCTGTCATGGACCATACAAGGTGATTTGCACAAGACATGGCTACAACTTTCCACTTTTTATGTCTTATCTCTTAGTTCACTTCAGACAAATCAACAGATAAAAAAGAGAAATGTGTCCATTCTAAATTTGTTTCCTTCTGACTTCTGCAAGGACTAAATTTGTGGGTGCAAAATTGAGGAGATGATTTTGAATATCTCGTTAGAAATCTGGCCTGAATCAAAGGATTTGCAGATTGTAAACCTTACTACTAAGTCTCTGATCAGCATGCTGTGATGAAAAACTTGAATTAAATCATCTCTTTTTTCCACTCTCTATCCAGTGTAGACAGTCCTTGTGAGTTTGAAATATTTGAGTGAAAGGTCTAACGTGTTTGGTGGGGCTTTTTATTTCTGAATAATAGTTAATATTAGTTAAATACTTTATAAACGTATCTAAGGAATAGGGCCAACAGTGCTTTGTTGTACAATTCAGAGTGGGTAATTTCTGTGTGTCTCTATATATTTAAATGTCCCCCCTCCCCATCCCAGATGAAAAACGTATCTTCTCCTTTCATCACTCCCATCACTTTTTAACCTGAAAACATTACATATACTGCAATGCTTTTTGAAAAACATCTCCTTTTCATTACCAGGCAAAACATGTGGTATAGGTCTATGTGCCTGGAGTAGGAAGCCAGGTGTGCCAACACAAATCCACTCTACTCTTTCTTCATAGGAAACAAGAGAGAAGAGGGATGTACTCTTTTAAAAGTTATAGTTACTGCAGAGCATCTGAAATATGGTGAACTGAAGCTGTTCTAGAAAGGAGTGAGTGAATGAGTGAGTGAGAGGGTCAGTGCTCACGGTATAATGGGGACATAGAGAAGAAGCTCTTTGTCCGTGACTGCCAACATGTGTCTCTTTATTCCTTCCTATGGTCCCTGCAGCTATTGCTATGCTGAAGGATAAAGAACCAGGCTCATTCATTGTTCGGGACAGCCACTCTTTCCGGGGAGCCTATGGCCTGGCCATGAAGGTTGCTACGCCTCCTCCTTCAGTCCTACAACTTAATAAGAAAGGTATTGTGCACTCACTTACAAAGGAAAAAGTTCCTTAGGGTGACTTGAGTGATGGGGTCTAAGGCACTGTCCCATGTAGAAGCAATTATAGCAGCTAAAATTTGTGTCTAACTCAGAGCCAATCAAATCTCATGATTAAATCTGGTGTCCTTTTCATGCATCTGTTGGTTTCTCTGCTCTTGGATAGATGATTTAGTGAGTATTTTACTTTTAACATTCCTGGATGATTTATCTATGTTTGTTTTGTTGAGATAGTGCTATAATATTAAGGGACCTTTGAGTTATTCTTTATCTGTGCTGATAATGTATTTTCATAAACCTATTTTTTTTCCCTATATAGCCTCAGTTTACTTACCCCTGCTTCACTGATCCAAGCAGCAAGAATGAGATTTGCTCCAAAGATCTGTCTTCCAAGATATAATTAGATAGTGTCTAACGAGGATGTTCCATATGGGGGCCTTATAATTTCAGGAGATGGCCATGGAGCCTAAATTCTCCTCTGTATTTCCAAAGATTCCTCAGATATATTTCCACTACTCAAATAGTGTGCATCTATAACCCTCCAACATTTAAAAATCAGGTTTTACCAAGCATTACAGGTTATCAGTGGAATCATTTTATTACAAAAAAGAATATTTGCTTGCCTAGAACGAGTGAATAAATGAAAAGCATTTATCAAGCTTACTGTGTTAACCAGTGGGGATACTGATAGAGAAACAGAGATAAATCTACCAGCTTACATTCTTATAGGGAGAGACAACACATAATGGAAAGTGTTGATGAAGGAAAAGAGTTGTGATTTAGAAATTTAGAGCTTAGATAGTAGAACGGTAGGAATTGATTCAACCCTTTCAGTAGCCATAAAAGTATTGATTGGTTTCACAATTTAGAAGTGGAAAATGGAGGCAAGAGTAGGTTATAAAATCAGCAGTAGGGAAGAATTTAAGATGTAGGCATTGAGAAGGCTCTGGTAACTGGTTGACAAATGGAGGGTGGGAAGCATAATCTGGTAATGCATAGGTTTAGCTGTTTAGGTGAGTTTTTACTCACATGTCCATTAATCAAGACGTATCTTTCCTGATAATAAGATAATAAATCAAAGGTGTCCTTTTGACCAAAGCTTATATTGGGGTGGATCAGGAAATGTTTCATTAGGTGGAGGGACGCTGGATCTCTTGCAAAATGTCTAATATTTTGATAGCTAGCAATGGAGCTACAACCCCTAGGGGAGCACCCCAGGTGGAGGAAATAGTAAGAAGAGATGCAGAGACATAAAAGTTAGGGAAACTTTGAGTTGTCAAAATTACATGGAGAATAGAGGTGTTGTGGGAGATAATGTTTGAAAGGGCATTTAAGCCCAGACCTTGGGGTTTTTTGAATTACACGTGAAGGGCTTTTGAATATCATTATCACATTTCTGTAATATGTTAAAGCTTATAAACCACTTTCCTAAAAACAACTCTTTGAGGTAGGTGATGTACATATATGTATGGAAATGTTAAAAATTTACATGTTTAACTCCCAGTCATCAGTGGATACATTTTCAAAGAATATGAAGTGGTTTTTTTTTTTCGAGTTCTCAGCTTATATATGTTGTCTCCCTTTTTAGAATGTAAACTCCTTGAGGACACAAATTATTTTGCTTACATTAAGCACTTAAGAAATGCTTATTGATTGATAATGGGGGGGAGAGTGGAAACACATTGTAAATAATCATTTGAAAAATGCACAACCTCATTAATAATTACAAATTAAGACAATTTTAATCTATCTTTTTGTACTTAACACATTGGCAAAAATAATTGAAAACAACCTTACCCAGTGTTGGCAGTGTTGTGCAAAAAAGCGGGTACTATAAATGTTTTCTTCTGGCGCCATTGCAAACTTGTAGAAACTGGAGAACAGCTGAGGTGTATAGAGTAAAAGTTATTTTTTAAAAAAAAAGGAAACCCTTTGACCTAAAAATGCCATTGTTGAGAAGATACCCTGAAAGTTTTGAAACTCTTCCCATCTCCCATTAAAAGCTCTTAAAACTTTGTTAGCATTATTTTAATTGCAAAAAAAAAAACAACTAGAAGCAACCCAAATATACAATAATAAAGGAATGATTAAGTAAATGCTAGTATATTAATGTAGTAGAATATTATAATCCAATTAAGACAAATCAGTAGACATAATTGGTTGGGCTATTTCATCTGTTGAAATCAGCTAATTTAAAGTAAATAGTAAACAAGTAGAATGAGGTATGTTGAGTTTCAGCATTAAGTTTTTAATTAACTATCTTATTTTAGAAAAATGAATGGAGAAGACTTACACATTTTCCGTTGGCTTTTAGCCCTAGCTTAGAGTACACATGTATAAACAATGCATACGTACATGTATATATATGCATGTATATATTATGTATGTGTGTGCATATATGCATATTATCAGCTTTGAAGAACAAATAAAGAAAGATCATATGGAATTGATTAGTCTGTTTAGAAAGTCAGGTGGTAATACATAAAAAAAATATATCCCTAGTTCCATTGTTTTTTTAGGTTACTTTAAAGAGAACATGCCTTGCCTGGTCACTGTGTGCCTATTTTTTCTCTCTTGCTACCTTTGGCCTCATTGTTACCTTTAAGGTAACAAAATACGGATGTTTGTAACAGGAAATTTAAGGAAATCATAATGCATGAAAAACAGTGGCTGCCTTGACATAATGTCTTTTGGCTGAAATGATGTCTTAGCTACTGTGCCATCAGCTGTATCCTTGGTTTGACAGTAGGATTTCAGAATCCAAGAAGAGGGTTGGAAGGCTCACTACAGCTAGTTCATATGCACAATGAGTCATCATAACAACATTAAATACCATGGAGATAGGCTGGAGGAAGATGCCATTCCACTCCCAATTGAGTCCTTCTCTATATACGATCCCCAGTCCCTTTGATTTGAAGTTGTTACTTCTTACCACTGGCATCCCACCCAGAATTCTAACACTTTGTTGGGTTTTGTAGCATTGGCTTATTTTGTCCCCTGCAATTTGGCGTAGCTGACGTCTTCTTCCTATTTTTGTGATTTTTTTTTTTTCATTGCTTCTCTCCAAACTAGTCACTCTATTTCCCTAGGTTTCACCACCGCATCTCGAAATTGCCATTTTATATTCAGAGTTTGTACTGGATGTGTTCAGACAGAGAACACTAATTATTTTTCCTTCTGTTCTTGGTTTTTGGGGGGTTTTTTTGTATTTTTCTTTTAGCAGAATGACTTACCAGTCAGTGAAACATTATGTTGTATTGTGTGGTTTGAGTTCTATTCTTAGTTTGAAAAAAAAAAAAAGCAAAAATTGTTAATGGCCTTGGCATCTAGTATGGTGGAAAGACCACTGGATTTAGAGTCAAAAGACATGCATTTAATTTACTTTAATTTCATTTCCCAGCTCTGCTTCTTATTACCTGTGTGACCCTAACCAAGTCTCTTCAACCTCTGGGCCTCAGGTCAATTCCTGTAAAATGAGAGAGTTAAAAAGATAGATGTATTTCCCAAGGTCCTTTTCAGCTTCAAACATATGATCCTACTTGAGTTTATTAAGAATTAGAACATTTAGGAAGTTTAGGTGCTTTATCCACACACAGATACATATTTACACATATATACACACATATATTTATTTTGTGATCTTATTCCCTATTTAGAAACTTTCACCCACTTCTATTACTCCTACTTCTTCCCTCCGTTCCCCCCCACTCCCCACTTCTACATTTTCTGGTGGATGACTTTATTATTGTAATTTTTACCAGCAGATATTCAGTGCCTCCCACATAAATATTATAACTGTGAGATTGTGATGTCCAAATTGTATTTTTTTCATTCAGCATCTGCATTGCCAGGACCATTGTCACTAAACACATTCATTATTTGGCAGTCTGTTTACTTTTGTCACCAATGCATTGTCAGGAGAGATCTCTTTTCCTATTTCTGCTCACCCCTTCCTAAATGTCTCATTTAATGATTCCTTTTTTTTTTTTTTGGTTCTTTACCTCAGCTGGAGATTTGGCCAATGAACTCGTCAGGCACTTTTTGATTGAGTGTACATCTAAGGGCGTACGATTGAAGGGATGCCCAAATGAACCATATTTTGGTAAGTTCCCTGGGAAACTGTCCTCAAAGTCTATAAAAACATGGGGAGAGCCACTTTGGTCTCCAAAATGAAATTCACAAATCTTGCTTTGGTGATATTTTGCTTCCCAGGTCAACTTGTATCGCCCAGATCCTGGAATGTCCCTGATGTGAATTATCATTCTTAAAACATTTTTTCCCTCATTCCAATAGCCTCAAGAGTATACAAAAAAGTTGCCTGCAGTGAAAGATAACAGAATTCCCCTATTTTCAGTTCAATTTTTTGTTAATGTAACAAATACTTGCGATTATATTGTTTACGTGTTAGTCATGTCATCTAGCTTTAACTGCATTTGTAACTGATGTGAGTTGATTTTCTTTTAGTCTGATTCCTAACCATTCGTGTTGGATGAATGTTCTGACCAGTATAAGGAGCCAAATGAATAAATGATTGAAAAAGTGAGATAAGTGCTTGACACATAGTAGGCACTTAATGAATTTGTGTTCCCTAGTCCTCTCCTTATCAGAGTATGAAGTACTGTAGATAGAAACAGGCTGGCTGGGCAATTTTTGCCCAGAGGGTGCTTGTTAGTGTTTGTTACTTGCTGATATTAAAAGCACATTACGTATTGCTTTTGCTTTATCAGGTTGAATTGGTTAAAAATGCTGGATGGATTGAATTCCTAAATTGTTCTGTGCTCAACATTAGGATTGCTGTTGTCCTATGGAGATTAAACTTATCCTTGCTCACCTGTGAGGAAAGAACTGGGGCCCACTGGGTGGAAAAGAGAGTAAAAGTTTTCCAGATGGTCCTTCAGATTCCGAACAATTAGAGTCAAACATCCACAAATGAAACTGCTCAGGCAGCAGGGAGCATCACAGGTTTTTCATTCAGTGTTTCAATCAGTGTCTCACTCTTAATGAAAGGACCAAGTTAGAATATGATGGTGATGACACTGTAAATCATGCTTTTGATATTGTTGTCTCTTTTTACCTCTTATAATCACATTGTGCCTGACTGTATTTCTGCCTGTGTGTGAAAGGATGGGAATGGCTGAGATGTTAAAAAAGCACAGTGAGGACCCTGTAGTCTCTCCTGGTTAAAGCGTCAGACTCCTAAAAAATCCTTTGTAGCTCAGCTCAAAATGGGCCTCAGAGATCTCACATAAAACCTAAACCAGTTTTTGCTAGAGAAATTTAACTAACATGGATATTATATTCTGGAGGTATAGGAACTCCTGACACTTTAGGTTAGGGTTTTCTGACTGCCTGTCCATGGCACATTGTTACTAGTCTGTAAAAACCTTTTTTTTTTTTAATAAGAGAACCTTTCTTTTTAAAACATATATTTTAAAAAACTGACTCATTCTTCTTCCTGCCTCCTATTTTTCCTATCCCCAACTTCTTCTTCCCCAACTGCTCATTTCTACCCACTAAGCCCCAGAGTTAAGCCAATTCTAGAGGGTAGGACAGTCCACAGTAGAAAATTTAGATATCTAAATATCTAAGTCCCCATTATATCTTCAGTTCAGAAACTCATTTTAAGCGGAAAAAAAAATATTACCAACTTACTTTATTTCACAAATAGACAATAAAAATTGAGAATTAATCCCAGTAATGTAGATATTTTAAAATGCCTGTTTTCTTTTGAGAAGGATGGTAATGGTGTATTTGCATATCAGATACAAATTTGGACTAATGTCTCTCACTTTCTCTTTCTCTTCTCTCTCCTTCTCTCCTCTCTTCTATTTTTCCTCTCTCTCCTCTCCCTCCCCTTCTTTCCCTCTGTCCCTCTCTGCTTAAATTTATCTTTTTCAGGGAGTTTGACAGCTTTGGTATATCAGCATTCCATTACTCCTCTCGCATTGCCATGCAAACTCCTTATCCCAGACAGAGGTATGTTTGTTCAAAAACGTAATGTTCTCTTTAGTATGCTGGCCTTCACTTTAGCTTACTTTTGATTCCCAAAATATAACTGCTTCAACAGCAGCAGACACATTTGGGAAAAGTAAAAACTGTGGCTTTCCTCCAAAACGTAGTTAAATGCTGAGCTGAAAATAAGAAAGTGAAATCTAATAGAGATAATGCTTGTATCGTGCATTTAGATTCAGAAAAGCAATTGTACAAATACAGAATGGGGTACAGAGTTGGACAGTTCATGTGAAAACAAAATCTGGAGAATCTGATTATCACAAACTCTGTGCACTATGCTGTGTCATTTCTGTAGAGTATGATTATAGATTTAATGCTGGAAAGGTCCTCAAAAACTATACAGATGTCCAATAGGGTGAGGAAGCTGCTAAAAAAAAAGTCTAACATAATTTGAAATTATAAGGATAGTGTTCAAATCATGAGAAATAGTATTCACACTGAACTGTGGGTCTTAGTATTATTCTCAGTTCAGTTTGTCATATTATGAGAAGTCATTGACAGAACTGGAGTGGTGTAGAGCAGAGATATGAAACATGTATGTCTGGGCCATGTTGGGCCAACACTCCTGAGTACAATACAACAGGTTAAAATGTAATTGCAAAATATTTAACAAGTGAAATTATGTTAGAATACATATGTTAATATGTAGCTTCCTAAATCACTAGGCAGCTCACAGGGATCATTATTTATGGTTTAGTGACCCCGTTTTAATTTGAGTTTGACATCTGGTCTAGAGGAAGACAAGAATAATGAGGGGTCATAAAGAGAGACCAAAGAGTTAGATTTTTAGCTTAAAAAAAAGGTTGATGGGGTACATAATAGATGTCTTCAAAAACTGGAAGGTCTAACATGTAAAAGAGAATAAAATTGTTCTGTGAAACACCAACGGGCAGCACCAGAAACAAGAAGTAGACATTAAAAAGAGGCCCAAAATAAAATAAAATAACATTTTCTAACAAACAGCACTGGTTGGATGAATGAATTAGGCTAAAGCCTTTTGAAGGCCTAAATGGTAGAGTAATGGACCGATTATTAGAAATCAAGAAACATGTTCTAGTTCCAGTCTTGTTATTCTTCTTTTAAGCAAGCACTCAACACTTCCTGAGCCTCAGTTTCCTCATGTGTTAAACTGAGAATTCTGGACAAGAATCATCTCCAAGATCTCTCCTAGCTTAAATATTTTATAATTCCTGAAGCCTTTAATATCAGTAGTAAATATGTTATATTTTCCCCAAAAGAAATCTCAGCCGTGAGTCCCACTGTATGCTGGGATGGCTGTACTGCCCAGAGTGTTTCTCCCTAGAATGTTTTAAAAACTATTTTACCGTAAGTCTTGTTCGCTTGTGTGGCTATTTACTTTTTCTTGCTTCTTACAGATCCATTAGAAGAAATGGCAGAAAATTCTCCGCAGACTGCTGCAAATTCTGCAGCTGAGCTGCTAAAACAGGGGGCAGGTTGGTAATTGTATCTTTCTTTCTTACTTCTGCTTAATTGATGGTAATAATGTTTATCCTAATAAATAAAAGGTAGTGGGAAATTCACAGAAGAAGAGAGATAGTTATGTTTTCTACATTACAAGTTCTTCCCATGACCCTCCCACCCATTTTCTGCATCACTTAATTTCAGAACTCTTCAAGGTATTTTCAAGTTTCTGTTCTTTACCTCCTTTGGAAGTTTGAGAAGCCAGGATGTACAAAAGTACAGCTATGTGTGTTTTGAAGTCTTCTGCCCCTTTGTCTTGAACAGTTTTTACGGAGAGAAATAAATAGCAAATATGCAGAGTAATTAATGAAAAAGCGGGGGCGGGGAAACCCTATGAGGATGTAGCTTGAATGTATGGCCTCCATGTGAGCATATTCAGGACCAGATGTAATATACATATATTTCTTATCAGATTATTTTAAAGCAGGGGTTCTTCAACTGGATTCCATCAACTTGTATACTCTTTTTTAAAATATTAATTATACACCAGTATAATTGATTTCCTTTGTAATCCTATGGTATTTTATTTTACATATTTAAAATCATTATTCTGAGGAGTATGACATTGTCACTGTACTTCACCAGATTGTCAAAGGCACAAAAACAGTATAGAAACCATGTTTTAAAGGAACATCAGTACCGTGAACAGTATTGTCCTCATCCCATTCACTCCCCTACTCTCTGTCTCCCAGGGCCTTTTCTGGCCTGCCTTTATTTGCTTCAAAATCCCCATCCTTTACTTAACCAGCTTTTACTACACTGTCTTCCAGCCTGGAATCCCTTGCCCCATTTCCCTACCACTGCTCATCCCTTTTTAGACCCCAACCTTGGATTACCGCCGCCATCTTCTTTCTCCACTCCTAGTTATATGTTGCCAAGCAGAGATGGAGAGAGTCAGACAATGGTGCTGACTGTATCCATTACCAATTTGTTATCCTTCTGTTGAAGGGAAGATCATAGTTCCATTTACTGTAGTTCACAAATTAGGAGTTATCCCTTGACTTACCCTTGTTGTCCAATCCTTCACCAAGTGTTATAGATTAAACCTCAATGTTTTTCCCATCTGTCCTCTTTTCTCTATTCATACTTTAACTGTTTCACTCTAGGGCAGGGGTGGGGAACCTGCGACCCAAGGTCACAGTTTGGATTCAGTCAGAGGGCTTCACTTGAGCAGCTAGAGGGCCATGTGTGGCCTCAAGCCCACAGGTTGCCCACCTCTATTAGACTATCGTCACTCCTGTACCAGCATATCACAATAGCCTTCTGCTTGGCCTTCCTCCATCTAGTCTTTCCCTTCTCCAATTCATCCTGTCAGATTGGTATTCCTAAAGCACAGGTCTGCCCATGTTGCTCCTCTGCTCAAGAAGCTTCAACGCCTGCTTATTGATTCTAGAATAAAATAGAAACTCCTCTGGAATTTAAAACCCTTTACAATCTGGCCTATTTTCCCAGAGAGATTGCATATTACTCCTTGTCAAGCGTCCCATGACCCAATCAAACTTGTCTGTTTGCTATTCCTCATACACATCATTTGGGATATTTTGCTTCCATGTCTTGGGGGTTAGGGGTGGAGAATAAGTATTTATTAAATGCTTGCTATTTGCCAGGCACTGTGTTAAATGCTTTACAGATGCAAGGCTCTACCTGCCTTCGATACTCTCCCTCTTAAACTCCACCACTTTTAACTACTACAACCTACTTCAAGGCTTAGCTCAAGTGTCTTTCTTCAAGAAGCCTTTCCTGTCTAAATTTAAGCAAATGAGGTCGATTGGCTTCTAGGGACTAATGATTGCACAGGTGTTCTTTCATGGAAACATCAGCCTTCTAAATCACTGAACTTCAGCTACCCTTGAGGTGTTCAGAGAAAGTGGCTAATCTTAACAGTTATAGAATTTGACAGACTTTTAGCAGCATGGATTACCAGAACAAAAGACAGTGACACCAACTCCATGCTATAGAATGCTAGATATGTGCTTTCTGGAGGCCAGCAGGCTTTGATACCTCCTTCACTTAAAATCAAAGCATATTGCTTTGTTCAGTCCCGGACAACTGCAGGGTACACAGTGTTGAGAGATGTCCCAGTGAACATGCCAGACAGTCCCATCTGGTAAGTATCATGTCAAGAATCATTTAGCCCAGTGGAAATTTAATTAAACTTAATTGGGTTAAATTGTATACATTTGGAAGTTTAGTAGGCAATCAGGAAGGACCTATTTTTATTTAGCTCTGTTGTTATTTCTGGCTCATGTCTAACCATCAGCCAGTTAAGTCATTTGAAACTGAAGCTTTCTAAGAAAACAATCCCTGCTCTAGCTCCCAGGCACCTTGTTGGAAGGTTATGGACCTTTCCCCTCATTGGCTTAGTACTCATGTGTTTGATGTGTTTTTCAAGGGCAGTCATATTTTCCTTCCAGTGTCTGATCAGTACTCATAACTCAGGTTTTTCTTTATATGGCAGGAAGAGCTGCTCTTGTCTAGATGGCCAGATATGATTTAGCACCCCCAATCCTTACTCCATTGTCACTTCATTAGCCTTTTTTAAAACGTGTAGTTAAAATTGGAATTGATCAGAGGTTTCTTGAAATGACCCTTATCCTTGAAAGAGATTGTGAACTGAGGTCTAAATAAAGTCACACTTGTGGGGCGGACATGGGAAAGGGAAAGGAAATGGTACATTCAGTATAGAATCTGACGTGGAATCAGGTGACTAAGTAGCGCAATGAACAGCTTTTTACATTTATCTCTGAAGATGAGCTGTGATTTCAAGAGATATACAAAGATGGATGAAATGAAAAATTAACTTAGCCTTTTCTCAAGATCAGTATCTCCTGATCATGTCCAGAATATTGGACTTGACTCTGTTTCACTGATTTATCTTAAGGCAGAGTCCGAGAATATTACAGCTGTAATATACCTTAGAAATAATTTATTCCAGGTCCTTCATTTTAATGATGAGGGAGCTGAGACCCCTTTCCCACCCCTAAGGACGGAACAGTGAATTTAGAATCAGAAAATTGGTCTTTATTCCAGTCCCTGTAAATTACTATCAGTGAAACCCTGGCCATCCATTTCAGGATGTATAAAATCTGTTCGCTCACATACTTCCCAGCTCTAACCTATGAACTTTTGTTAAATAACTGTAATGCCGCCCTCTGTCCAAAGCCTCTGGTTGGTTTTCCAAACCTTGCCTATTAGTTAAGCCCTGTCTTCAGAGGGATAAGGACACTTTGTCCTAGTCTCCTTATATAACCACAAAATTGACATGGTTGGCATTTCTTGTTCCAGAGGGGTTCTCAGCTGAAAAAGCTGAAGGTGGGAAAGAGCTCTTTGCAGCCAAACTCAGCCGGCAGAAATGTCCTCCCTTGACTGTTTCCAGCTCAGCTTACTCAGGTGGATTCATTACATGTGCATTTACTTGCATGTGTGTGTTGCTTCTAGTAATAGAATGTAACTTCCTTGAGAGTAGGGGCCATTTCATGTTGTTTACTTCTGCATTCCCAGGCCTAACACAGTACTTGACACATAATACTTGTTGGTCGGAATCTGCAGAACACTGTTGGGCACCAGAGGCAATGTAGAGTTCAGCTATGACTCCATTCTTGCCTTTACAGAGCTTATTGTCAAGTACAGAAACAATTATGCTGTATTTTTATTATGATAATAGATCTAAGAATTGCAAAGTGCTTTATATATCTTGTTGGTGTTATTTTACGGAGGAGGAAACTGAGCGTGCGGGAGCTTAAGTGTTTTGCCCAGTTATACGTAGTTAATAAGCGTGTGAGTCCGGATGGCTCTCAGCTCAGGTCTTCCAGATTCAAAGTCTGACGCTCTGTCCACTGAGCCACCTAATCATTATAATTTTTTAGTCATAAGACACAACCACTACATACATTATTATACATTATGTATGTTATAGAGGTACAGAACAAAATGTGATATGCTAACTGTAGAGGACAGTCACTGCCATCACGTTGTATATAGCATTTTATTTGAAAGGATGAACAGCAATTCATTCTTCAAAAAGAAGAGGTAGAAAATAGAGAATCAGTTGGCAAGGCTACTGAAGCTTTGTGTTTGGTGGGGTGGGGATGTGGGGATGGTCGTCTTCTTTGTAGAAGCATTGAAAGTTCATGCAGTAAAATAATAGGAAATAAGACTGGACTGGTCTTTTCTTCTAAGATTCCCGCCACGAATAGCAAATGGAGTTCTTCCTTAACTGGCAGTATAGAGATCCCTAACAGCTATTCTCCTAGTCAGGAAATATTCTCATTTTATTGTAATGAAGCCATGCCTGATTACTTTAAATGAAAATGAGAGTATCTGAAGTATTTCTGATGCCATGTGTTCCCAATCACAATAAGAAAATATAATGTTAGTGAAGATTAGATCTTAGGTAACTTTTTTTTTTTATAGATCCTGCTATCAGCGCTGGGAGAAAACAAAAATCAGTTAAGGAAAGAGAGAGGCCTTGAAATGCAGGTGAATGATTCCATTTTACAAGAAAATGACCATGCAGTACAAAAAGCTTGAACAGGTGGGGGATAGAAGAGGTGTAACTGTGCCAAGCAGTTGCTAAGAGCCATGAAGAAGGGAGATATTAGTGCAGGGAACGCAAAAGCCTGAATGTAAGCCACTTGGGAACTTTTTACTGGCTCTCTTCCAGCGGTTTGTGTGTTAAGTGTGCAGGTGTGAGAGACTTCTGAAAGACCCTAGCTAGGGTGTGACAGTGAGAAGTGGCTATAAAACTAAGGTAGATAGTAGCAAATTCCAGAGAAAAATGATATGCTAATAGAGAGTCAGGGTCATAGGATTGTTTTTTAAAGGAAGTTAGAGATCTTCAGACTTTCTATGGCATATGTCAAGGTACTTTTCTCCTGAACTCACTGATCATCCCAGAAATGAAGATTCTCATTTTAAGGAGAGTAGAAATTGTTAGAGGCTAGCCCTGATCCTCTTCCAAAGTGGGCTCTGG